GCTGGAGTAGCACACCCAAATGAGGAATATGTTGCCTCCAAAATCCAAAGAGGCCCACTAGTCATGCCTCCTTTTTAGTTGTGGGAGGAGCCAGAAGTGATAATTCATATTTCACTTTAGAAGGAGTATCTTGACATGCCCCACACCATTGGACCCCTAGCAATTTTGCTGAGGTGGAAGGCACCTGAATTTATGTGGGATTAATTTCCCACCCTCTGGCACATAAATGTTTTACCAATAAGTCCAGAGTCATCAACACTTCTTCCTTACTAGGTCCAGTTAGTATAATATCATCAATGTAATGGACCAGTGTGACATCTTGTGGAAGGGAAAGGTGATTGAGGTCCCTGTAGACTAAATTATAACATAGGCTGGAGAATTGATATAGCTCTGAGGTAGGCACCTGAAGGTGTATTGCTGGCCTTGCCAGCTGAAGGCAAGCTGCTTCTGGTGATCCTTGGAAACATGTATGGAGAGAAAGGCATTTGCCAGATTAATAGCTGCATACTAGCTACCAGGAGATGTATTAATTTGCTCAAGCAGTGAAACCACATTTGGAACAGCAGCTGCAATTGGAGTCACCGCCTGGTTAGTTTTTCAATGATCCACTGTCATTTTCCAAGATCCATCTGTTTCTTGCACAGACCAAATAGGTGAGTTGAATGGTGATGTGGTGAGAGTCACCACTCCTGCATCCTTCAAGTCCTTGATGGTGGCAGTAATCTCTGCAATCCCTCCACGGTTATGGTATGGCTTTTGGTTTCCTATTTTCCTAGGTAGGGGCAATTCTAATGGCTTCCACTTGGCTTTTCCTACCATAATAGCCTTTACTCCACTTGTCAGGGATCTAGTGTGGGGGTTTTGCCAGTTGCTGAGTATATCTATTCCAATTATGCATTCTGGAACTGGGGAAATCACTACAGGATGGATTCGGGGACCCACTGTATCTACTGTGAGATAGACTTGAACTAATACTCCATAAATAACGTGACTTCCATATACCTTAGTCTTGGTACCAAATGTCTTAGGCTGGGTTCTCTAGAGAAGCAAAACCAGTAAAATGATTTTTCTTGGCTCTGAAGTCTACTTTATCTGATATTACTATAGCCACTTCAGCTTTCTTTTGATTAATGTTTGCATGGGAGATTTATAACAAGGAAATGGTTCATGCGTTTGTAGAGGCTGGAGTGTTCCAAGTCTGTGGATCAAGCTGGAGGCTTCTCCTGATTAATGTTGCCTCAGGTGCTGGTGAACCCAAAATCGGCAGGTCAGATAGCAGGGCGCTTGCTCACAGGCTACAAAGACCGACAAATCCCAAGATCGGCAGGTAAGCTGCTAGCTCAAGTCCCAAGAACTGGAGGTCAGATGAACAGGAGCCAGCTGCAGGATCCAGAGCGAGCAAAGGCCTGCAAGCCTTGCCAGAACATCCACCTATATTGGATGCAGGCCACACCCCCAAGGAAATTCCCTTTCAACTGATTGGCTACTCATAGCAGATCCCATTACAGAGGTGATCGCATATCAAATCTCATCATGGAGGTGATCACATCATCATAGAACTGCCAAACTACATCATAACTGCCAAACCACTGAGAATCATGGCCCAGCCAAGTTGACAAACAACCTTAACAATTACAGCCCTCAAAAATTCATGTCTTTGCCGCATGTAAAACCATTCATTCCATCATGTCATCCCAAAAGTCTTAACTCCAAGTCCAAAATCTCTTCTGCAAAATTCCTCTTCATCTATGAAATCTAGAATACAAGTTACCTGCTTCCAAAGTCCAATGGTGGAACAGGCACAAGGTAGACATTTCCATTACAACTGGGAGAAATTTGAGAGAAAGAAGAGATATCGGGCCCCAAGCAAGTCACCAGAACACATTACATTAGCTCTCAAGGCTTGAAAATAATCCTCTGTTCTCTGAGACCATGTAGGCAATGGTCCTGCTCTCCAGATTCTGAATGTTGGCCACACTGCCTGAGTTGTGTGTGGAGGCCCCCTTGGCCCTGAGCTTCACCTCAGCTTTCCAGGCCCACTGGGACAGCAACTGTGCTCCCTTGGATTTGGGTGGCCCCATTCTCCTAGTCTGAGTGGCAACCCTACCCCCTCGGCCTTGGAAGGCCCCCTTCTTCTGGCCTTTGGGTATGGCAGCCCCGCCTCCTCAGCTTTGGGCAGTGGATCTGGCCCCATCCCCCTGGCACTTGTGAACAGCAGCCCCACACTTCGGAAACAAGTTGTGAAGATCTGACTCTTTGAAACCTAGGAGGCTGTGGCTCACCCTTCTGGACCGAGCAGGCCGTGGTTCCACCCTTTGAGACCCCAGAGTTTGTGGCCCGACCCTTTGAGACTGAGGCAGCTCTGCTTCCTGTGTTCCTTGTCTCTTCAGCTTCTGCTTCCTTGTTCCTTGGCCTCTCTGCCCCTTGGGCCCTTGGGCCCTTGGGCTTCTTGGGCCTGCCCAGTGTCTGCCCTGCTCAGGTAAGTGTTCCAAAGCTCTTTAGTTCTACCAATAAGTGCCTGGAGGCATCCCACTCCACCAGTAAACCTCGGCTGGAAGGCACTCAGCTTTCTTGCTCCATGGGTCAGCAAGCCTAGCTCCACCGATAAGTGCCCAGAGTCACTTTACTCCATCAGAAAGCCTCCTACCCAAAGGCAATCAGCTCTCATGCTCCATGGGTTGGCTTCTGCACTGTATCATGCAAGTCTCCTGGTTCTGCTGCTGCCATTTCTCTGCTACTGCTTCTCATCATCTGCACCGTCTCTGGTGTTACAGCTCTGCTCACTTCCTTCTGAGCCCTCACCAGAATTGTCTTTGATGTTCATAATTCCACCAACAGTCTTTTCAAGAGAATCTAGGCTTTTACTATTAGGCACTTCAGAGTTCTTCCAGCCTCTACTCGATGACAGTTTCAAAACTGCTTCCACATTTTAGGTATCTGTTAGAGCAGCAGCCCACTCCTGTTACCAAAATCTGTCTTAGTATCTAGTGCTGCTATAACAGAAATAACACAAGTGACTGGCTTTAACAAACAGAAATTTATTCTCTCACAGGTTAGGAGGCTAGAAGTCTGAATTCAGGATGCCAGCTCCAGGAGAAGGCTTTCTTTCTCTTGTCAGCTCTGGGGAAGGTCTTTGTTATTAATCTTCCCCTGGTCTAGAAATTACTTAGCACAGGGACCTCAGGTCCAAAGGATGCACTCCACTCCTGGCTCTTCTTGCTTGGTGGTAATGAGGTCCCTGTCCTCTCTGCTCACTTTTGTCTTTTATATCTCAAAGAGATTGACTCAAAATACAACCTAATCCTGTAGATTGTGCCCTGCCTCATTAACATCATAGAGGTTAGGATTTACAACACATAGGATAATTACATCAGATTACAAAATGGAGGACAACCACACAATACTAGAAATCATGGACTAGTCAAGTTAACATACATTTTTGAGGGCACAATTCAATCCATAATGGTCTGCTTCTGTAAAGATTACAGCCTTGGAAACCTTATGGGGGAGTTCTACTCTGTCCTGTAGGGTCACTATGAGTCGGAATTGACTTGATGGCAACAGGTAAAGGAAGGCTGGAAAGAGGAAACAGAAATTACAAACAGGGAACAAACCAAAAACAAATAAAATGATAGACAAATCCAAACATATCAATAATTATAGTAAAGGTAAATGGCCTAAACATGACAATTAAAAGACAGAAATTATCAGAGTGGGTGACAAAAAAAAGATTATATGCTGTCTACCAAAAAAAAAAAAAAAAACACTTTAAATATAATATAGGTGGGTTAAAAGTAAAAGGATGGAAAAAGATACCCCATGCAAACATTAATCAAAAGAAAGCTGAAGTGGCTATAGTAATATCAGATAAAGTAGACTTCAGAGCCAAGAAAATTATCAAAGATAAAAAGGGACATTGCATAATGATAAACCCATTGCCATTGAGCCAATTCTGACTCATAGTGACCCTATAGAACAGAGTAGAACTGCCCCATAGGGTTTCCAAGGGTGTAATCTTTATGGAAGCAGACTGTCAAAACTCCTCTCTCAGTAATCAACAGAACAAGTAAACTGAAAATCAACTAGTATGTAGAAAAACTGAACAATGCCATCAACTAACAGGGTCTAATTGGCATTTATAGAATATTCTCCACAATACAAGAAGCTCTGGTGGTGCAGATGGTTAAGCACTGAGCTGCTAACTGAAAGATTGGTGGTTTAAATTCACTCAGTGGCTCTGTGGGAGAAAGACCTGATGATCTCCTTCCATAAAGATTGCATCTTGGAAACCCTATGGGGCAGTTCTATTCTGTCACATGAGGTTGTTATGAGTAAAAATCAATGTAATAGCACCTAACAACAACTCCACAACACAGAATACACAGTCTTTTCAAGTGCATATGGAACATTCACCAAAATAGATTATATCCTGGGTCATAAAATAAATCTCAACAAATTTAAAAGAATTGAAATATGTTTTCAGATCATAATAGAATTAAACTAGAAATCAACAACAGAAAGATAACAGGAAAATATTCAAACATTTGGAAACTAAACACACTTCTAAATAATGCATGGATCAAAGAGCAAGTATCAAGAAAAATTAGAAAATATTGTGAATTTAACAAAAATTAAAATATAAAATATCAAAATATGTGGGGTGCAACTAAAGCAACACTCAGAAGGAAACTTACAGCATCAAATGTTTATGTTAGAAAAGAAGAAATGTCTCAAGTGAACAATCTATGTCTCTACCTTAAGTAAGTAAATAAAGAAGAGTAAAATAAACCCAAAGCGAGCAGGAGGCAATAAATAATAATGATGAGAACAGAAATTAAGGAAATGTAAAACAGAAAACAATAGAGAAAATTAATAGAACCAAAAGTTGATTCTTTAAAATGAGCAATAAAATTGATAAGCTGCTAGCCGGACTGACAAAAAGAAAAGAAGACATTAAAAACCTACAGGTGAATTAATGCTTTCTTTCATTTTTCTTTCAGGAACAAGGCAAGTATGTTCATTCTCATCACCCCTATTCAACATCATCTTGGAAGCCATAGCCAATGAAATAAGACAAGAAAAATAAATAAATAAAAGGTATACAGATCAGAAAGGAAGAAATAAAACTCTCCCCCGTGGCACAGTGGTTAAGAGCTCAGCTGCTAACCGAAAGGTCGGCAGTTTGAATCCACCAGCTGCTCCTTGGAAACCCTGTGGGGCAGTTCTGTTCTGTCCTATAGGGTCCTATGAGTCGGGATTGACTCGACAGCAACATGTTTGGTTTCTTTTTTATTCTCAGAGAACAAGATAGCCTATATAGAAATCCCACAGAGTCTTGGAACTAATAAGTAAATTTATCAAGGTTGCAGGATAAAAGATCAGCACACGAAAGTCAATCATAATCTATATCACATAAAAAGCAATGAAACATAAAAAATAGCTTCTATAAATAAATAATTAGGTATAAATCTAATAAAACATATGAAGGATCTGTATATTGAAAAGTAGAAAATGCTGATGAAAGAGATCAAAGGAGACCTAAATAATTGGAGAGACATATCATATTCATATATTTTAAGACTTGATATGTTAAAGATGTCAGTTTTCCCCTAAGGTGATGTATAGGTTTAACAGAATTCCCATCAAATACCCAGAAGGATTTTTTGTAAATACAGACAAGCTAATTCTGAAATTTATATGAAAAGACAAAGGATCTCAAATAGCCCAAATAATTTTGAAGAACAAAGCTGGAGGGCTCATACTACCTTTTTTAAAATTATTATAAAACTACAAAAATAAAAACAGTATGGTATTGGTGAAAGGATAGATACATAGATCAATGGAACAGAATAGAGAGTCCAGAGATAGACCCACACAAATATGGCTAATTGATTTTTGACAAAGATGCAAGGGCAATTCAATGTAGAAAGGATAGTCTTTTCAACAAATGGTACTGAAGTAATTGAATATCAACTTTAAAAAAGTGAATATTAACCTAAACCTCACATCTGATACAAAATTTAACTCAAAATGATCATAGATTAAATATAAAATGTGTCATGGATTGAATTGTGTCCCCCAAAAATATCTGTCAACTGGGCTGGGTCATGATTCCCAGTATTTTATGATTGTGTACCATTTTGTAATCTGGTGTGATTTCCTTATGTGTTGTAAACTCAATCACCATGATGTAGTAAGATGGATTAGCAGCAGTTAAACTGATAAGGTCTACAAGATTGGATAGGGTCTTAAGCGAATCTCTTTTGAGATATAAAAAGAAAGAAGCGAGCAGAGACACATGGGAACCTCATACCACCAAGAAAGCAGTGCCAGGAGCAGAGCGTGTCCTTTGGACCTGAGGTTCCTGCATAGAGAAGCTCCAAGACCAAGGGAAGACTGATGACAAGGACCTTTATCCAGAGACGACAGAGAAAGCCTTCCCCTAGAGCTGATGCCCTGAATTTGGACTGGTAGCCTACTGGAATGTGAGAGAATAAATTTCTCTTTGTTAAAGCCATCCACTTGTGGCATTTCTGTTACAGCAGCACTAGATGACTAAGAAAATGTGCAACTCTAAAAGTGTTAGAAGATAAAATAGGAGAGAATCTTAGTTACCTGGGGTTAGGCAAAGAGTTCTTAGATATGACACCAAAATCCTGATCCATAAGAGAAAAAAGTGGTAAGTTGGAATTCATCAAAATTGAAAACTTACGCTCTGAGAAAAACACTGTTAAAAGGAAAAAAGGACAAGCTACAGAATTGGAGAAAATATTTGCCATTTCTTATCTAACAAAGAATCCCATAAGCTGGATTACTTGAATTCGGCATCAGAATTGGAGACTCATTAACAACCTGCAGTATTCAGATGACACAGCCTTACTTGCCAGAATTAAAGATGATTTGAAGCACTTACTGATAAAGGTCAAAGACTACATATAGCCTTCAGTATGCATTATACTTGAACGTGAAGAAAATGAAAATCCTCACAAATGGACCGATAAAGAACATTATGATAAATGAAGAAGAAATTGAAGTTGTCAAGGATTTCATTCTATTTCTATCAGCATTCAATGTCCATGGAGGCATCAGTCAAGAAATCAAATGATGCATTTCATTAGGCAAATCTGCTGCAAAAGACCTCTTTCAAGTTTTAAAAAGCAAAGATGTCACTGTGATGACTAAGGTATGTCTGACCCAAGACATGGTCTTTTTAGTCACCTCATATGCATGTGAAAGTTGAATAATGGAAGAGAGAAGAACTGATGTGTTCGAACTGTGGTGTTGGCAAAGAATATTGAATATTCTGTGGACTGCCAGAAGAAAGAACAGATCAGTCTTAGAAGAAATACAAACAGAATGTTTCTTAGAATCGAGAATGGCAAGACTTCAACTTGCTTACTTTGGACACATCATTAGGAAAGACCAATCACTAGAAAAGGACATCGTGGTCGTTAAAGTAGAGGGCCAACAAAAATGAGGGAAACCTTCATGAGATGGATTGACACAGTAGCCGCAACAATGGGCTCAAACATACCAACGATCATAAAGATGGCTCAGGACTGGGCAGTGTTTCTTCTGTTATACATAAGGTTACCATGAGTTGGAGCCAACTTGACAGAAACTAACAACAACAAATCTAACAAAAGACTTGTAAACAGAATATATAAAGAACTCTTGAAACTCAGCAGTAAGAAAACAACCCAATTTTTTAAAAAATGGGCAAAAGACTTAACAGACAATTCATCATAAAGGCTATAATGATGGCAGATAAGCACATGAGAAGATGCTCAACGTTATTAGTCATTAAAAAAACCGAAACTATTTTTGTTGAGTCGATTCTGGCTTACAGGAAATGCACATTAAAGCCACGATGAAATACCACTGCACACCTATTAGAATGCCTAAAGTAAAACAAACAAACAAAAACTTGACAATACCAAGTGCTGGAGAGTATGTGAAGCAGCTGAAACTCTCTTACGTTGCTGGTGGGAACGCAAAATGGTATAGCCACTCTGGAAAACAGTTTGGCACTTTTTTTTAAAGTTAAGCATACACTTATCATAGGACCCAGCAATTCCACTCCTAGGTATTTTCCTTACAGAATTGAAAATTTATGTTCACAGAAAACATGTATACAAATGTTACTAGCAACTCTGTTCATAACTGCTCCAAACTGGAAACAACCTGATGTTCTTTGACAGGTAAGTGGTTAAACTATAAACACACAGTGGCATCCTACCCAGCAATAAAAAGGAATGAACTACTATTAATACTTGCCACAACATGAATGAATCTCAGAGGCACTATGCTGAGTGAAAGAAGCCACTCTCAAAAGGTTACATAGTGTATAATTTCATTATATGACATTACAAAATCATAGCAATGAAGAACAGATCAGAGGTTGCCATGAGTTTTGGTTGGAGGGAAAGTGTGACTACAAAGGGGCAACAGGAGGGAGTTTTGGAGGGTGATGGAACTGTTCAGATCCTTATTGCGTGGTGGTTGCACAAATCTGTACATGGGTTGTAACTCATAAAACTACACACATACAGAGCAATTTTACATATGTCAATTTAAAAAATAAAAGATTAAAAACAAAACAGACGTACTAGATTACTGACATACAGGCATCCATGGTTTTAAATACTATGCTATTACTTGGGTGAATTTTAATATAAATTAAAGTTTTTTTAAAAAAAACCACCAAGGAACTTATTATTTCAAAGAATACCCATAGTGAATCATTCTGTAAACTGCTTTAATATCTTTCGTGTCAATCTAGATTTTGTGTCCTGGCTCTTGCTGTACTGCTAGGTGGCTGTGTAATGTTGAACAAGTCACTTCACCTCTGTGTCTTAAGCAGTAGACCAGGGTTGGGGTTTGGATGACATTTGTAAGTGTTGCTAAACTGTGTCAGAATCATCTGGGGAGATTAAAAAAAAAAAAAAAAAGATTCCTGCTTTTCCCCCGACTTCCAGAGAGTCTGCTCTAGTAGGTCTGGGGTGGTCATTCTGATCTGCTGCCACATTTGGTTACTTCCAGAGCAGTTGGTCTCTCACAGCTTTGAAACGGTTATTTATGTCATACACTGAGTTTGCTCAAATTAAGGTCCATTTGTACTGGGAGTCAGCTTCTGTCCTTCCCTGCCACGTGCCCTGTGGACTGAGAATTTCCCCACCCCAAATCCAGGATATCTTTATCCAAGTTCATCAGTGGTTTTCTAAGAACACAGCTTTGTTTACTTTCATCAAACCATTTCCCACGTAAGTGTCATCTTGACCTTTCCCAAGATGTTTATGCTCCCTCTTTTGGAGACTTGCACCTCTATCGTCCTTTCCCAGGCCACCTCATATTCCATCCTCCAGCTTCATGTGTCCAAATGTCCCAGCCTCAGATCCCTCACTTGATTGGCCTCTTGGCTGGAGAACAGTGACATCTTGGAGATGATTGTGGAACCTGAAAGCTCTCCATATGGCCAATGACAGAGCAGAAGATGAGAACGGGATAGATACTGGGAGAAAGCAGGGGCAGCATCCTCTTCCCATCTGAAAGACAAGGTCTTCAGGGAGCAAGAAAAGAACACTGAAGGGTAGAGAGATGTAGTGAGGAACTCTGAATGCTAACCCAGCTGACCTCATCTCAGGTGCAGTTCAGAGGGGCTGAGTCCAGAGGGGCAAGGCGTGGGCCTTTTGCCATCACTGTCTGCTTCTCCTTGTCCCCCTAGAGATGGTTTTAAGGGCAGACAGTGAGGCTGGGAAAGCTCTGAGCCTTCACCACTCCCTGCTCCCAGGTTCATGGTGGTGCCCTTCCCTCAAGTTATGCCAGCTCTGTGCCTACCCCCACTGTGTTCTCCCCTGGGATGGAGGCTAGTTGGGGGGCTCCTTAGGGAACCACCTACACTAGGTCTTCTCTCTCTCTGCCCCTAATCTCCTCAGTTACTTCTCTTACCTCCTGTGTATTGGAAACCCTCTACCCTCAAATCCAGGATGTCTTTATCCATCTTAATCTACCCCCCCCTAGTGCAGCCTCACCTCCACCTCTCACCTCACCTATTTAAAGACCTCAGTCATGTCTAAGGAGGAGAGAGGTAAAGGCTGCCTTCTTCTTACCTCCAGCCCAAATGGAATGGGCCTGAGAGAATCCTAGCCCCTTGCTGCTCCTTCAGCCTCTGAAATGGCCCATTCCCAGAACTGAGAGCATAAGGGCAAGACGGTTGTGTAGAGTTACATGGACTTGGAATGTGTGGGTGGTTCTTACTGTAGGTCAGCTCCTGGTTCTGTGGGTAACCTCAGTTAATATGGCTTGGAGATTGGGTAGGGACTGGAGAGAAAGGGTGTTACTGGGATCTGGGGCCATTTGTTGCAGTAGGAGTGAAAAAATTCCAAACTACAAGCAGATCAGGGTCAGAGTTGGCCCAGAACATTTGTTTCTGTTGGTCTGATGCATGGAGAGAGTGAAAGATGATAGGCGGATAGACTGGGAGTGGAGGCTGGGGACTGATCCAAAGCCAGTAAGATGATTTCCAGGTTGTACCTGGAAGTATTTTAGGAGTCCTGAGGATGGAACTGGGGAGTGAGTGACCGTCAGGAAGCACTGAAGAGCAAGGCAAGGACAGAGTAACTGGGGAGAAATCTGAGGAAGCCCCTGCCTTAATATAGCAGTTGTTTGAATCCCATGTACTTTGTCAAATGCTTTCTCTGCATTAGCACACTTAATTCTCACAATTCTGAGGTATGAATCCATGTGCCGCTACCACCAGTGCCTAGAAAGGCGCGTTTTACAAAACTGCTGTTTAGAAAGGTTAAGAATCTTTCCTAGGGTCATAGCTACTAAGTGGTTGAGCCAGGTCTTGTTGACACCAAAGTCTTTATTCATAATTGTGTACCTCTATGCTATTTTGCTTAGTCTCTCCCAAGTATAAACCTCTTCCAACCTGTAATTTTCTGGGCTGGGGGAAATAATCTATGAGTCTGACCATGTCCTCTGGACATCTGTTAGACTGAGGGCTGAGGGGGTGGCTCTTGCGTGAGGCTGAAACCAGATGGGGCTGACCAGAAGTGAAATATCAGCGTCCCTCCTGAGTTCCTTTCCTCTCTCTTTTCCCTTGCCCTCACCCCACAGAGCTGACAAGTCCGAAAGTGCCAGGGGCTGGTTCTAAAGCACCTTACTACACTGCTGCTAACACCTAATTTCCCACAACATATCCCTGCCGGAACTACAGTCACAGGACCCAGGAATAAGTGCTGGGATGAAGAGTGGCCCTCACTCTAGAGCAGGAAGCAGGGGGTGAAACTTAGTTCATGTGCCTGAAAGGCAGGACTCAAGTGGGAGAGCTTATGAAACAAGATTGAGCCACTGAGATTGAAATCAGGGCAACCCTTGCCGTGCTCCAGCCCCCACTCAGAACTACACCCATGAGTGTAGGCACTGGAACTGCAATCAGGTGGAGGTTGGACATGAACTATAGCCTAAAATTTTGCAGCTAGAAGGGACCTACATAAGTGAGGTCCTGGGAAGTGGATGACTCATCTAAGGCCACATGGCTAGGTTAGTGGCAGAGCTGAGCTGAGGACTGTGGGTTCTTTGAGTTCCATCATCCACCGTTCAGCAATCCAGGTGGTGATGAATAATCTCCGTTTGACTTCTGGGACTCCTGGTTTCTTTTAGCCATAGGGTTATTTCTCCTTAACCCTGGTCATGTATCTTCACCAGCTGTTTAATGCCTGAGATTTAGTAACTGCACTGGACTAGGAAGTCAGCACTTGGGTGTTGTGCTCTCAACTTCATTTCTCTGTGGCTGAGTGACTAGACAAATCCCCCTTATCCTTTGGAATCTACTTGTCCATCAGTGACGTGGGAAAATTCTTCCCTTCCCTGAGAGGACCCAGAGCCTTAAGAATGTCTTTTTGCCTCTGATTTACCCACTGCACAAGACTAAAGATTTTTTATAAAGAGGAAACCATTATCAGACTCTCCCAAGCATTTACCATCAAGTTTCCGAGATGAACAGTGACCCACTTGGCTGGGCCAGGTCAAGCAAGAGTGGAAGACTTGAGAAATGTGAGAGCACCTCATTCCCTTCTAGTACCACTCAGGTTCCGGGTTAGTTTTCTCCTCTGGTCTCCTTCCCTGAGCTCAAATTCTCCACAGCTGGGGGGTGTAGGGTTTGAAGAACGTTGCTGACCCGAGTTCCTCCCCCTTGAGGGACTATGTAGGGTTATGTGGGTTCTTCCTGCTCGGCATAGCATGTGTTCCTTCTCATGGTACAGGGAAGAAATTATGCCCAAGGGGTAAGGGGCAGCAGTTCCTTAGACATCTATGAAATATGCCCTACTTTCCCCCAAACAGTGAAGTTACAGCAAAAAGTGAAGGAGAGAGCCAACAAAAGAGCCACTTAAATTTTTATCCCCCTAACCTAGCGCAGCTGAATGCCACTGCTTCCCCTCATCGGCCAGTGCTCTGACAATCCCACTGTCATTACCATTGAGTTCCTAGGTTTGAACGCTAGGTTAAGAAGGCCACACATGGAGACAGGAAGGAAGGTAAGAATGAGACTAGAAGGAGACAGGTGGTTGAAATTAAACAGGCGAAAATATCAAAAGTACAGGCAAAACCCTACTTAGTTTTTCCATTCTTCTTTATTCCGTAAACACCTAGTTACAAGTTGCACAAATCAAAAATAAAGGCAGAGAAGGGTGTAGGGAAGATTTTGGTGATGTGTGTGGGTGCAGGGGAAAAGGGGAGGAGTTGGGAACTACACCAGTCCTCTCCCTCCACAGTCCTGGACGAGGGCTATGGCCCCTGTAGCAGGGGCTCTGAGGAAGAGGTGGACAAAGACCCAGGAGAGCGGAGGAATGGAGGAGGCCCCTGGACCCAGAGCTTACCCCGAAACACCCTTCCTTCACTGTATGGCAGGGGCAGAATGGGAGAGGTGAGAGGATGATGGAGCAGCAAAATGAAAAAATCAAGTTAGTGGACAGAGGAGAAGGAGTCATCATGGTAAGGGAATTAAAGAAGGAAAAGTAGGCAAAAAGGGCTGTGAAAAGTTCTCCCTGAGACCCCCAGGGAGAGGTGGGGGCCAGCTTGCCTATTAATTTAATATTAAATTGGGGGCAGGAGTTGGAGAGGGAAAAGTTATTTCAGGGGATGGTTTCTCAGCGTCTCACAGTTTGTACCTAGAAGGGGAAGAAAGAAGAACCCAAGTCACAAAGCAGAGAAAATAAAAGCCACGAGTTGGGATTTAATCCCCTATTCCAGCTAGATAGATCATTTTCCCTCTTTCCATACCAACTAAAACTTATACTATCAAAGACAATATTTAATAGAAACCTGTACTGCTTCTGCCTCATGGCATTACCTACATATGAGCACAGGTACATTTCCCCCCACCTCACCCTGTGTTTGATCCCTCCTGGATCCTCTCCCTCCGACACTTACAAGAGAAGCTGAGGGCCTGGAGCCTTCACCAGTCATAGCGGCGGGACTGTCGGGAGGGGGAATCCTCAGGTCCCTGTATAGCCAAGCGAGGAGGCCCCTCAGCCCTTCGTCCCCCACCCCCTGAAGCCTCATGGCGTCGAAATTCAAGAGGGCGTTGCTGCCGGAATCGGGAAGTCTCCCTCCGCCATTCATCATCAAATGCTGCGGCCTCACCTGGAGAGGACACAAAGACCAGATCTGATACCTGTGTACAGATACTGGCATCTAGAGGCAGATTCAAAAGTTGAGCCACAGCCTTCGAAGACCAAAAAATGGGGCAAACAATGAAAGTGGGGGGTGGGTAGGAGGGGGTTGTGTTGGAGGAAGGCAGCAACTTCTTTATTTAGCTCTTTGGGGTTAAGCATGGTTCCACTGGCAGGCCTAAGGCATAATTACTGGAAAAAAAAATCAGGAATGGGATAATTATTCAGTTAGACCCCTCTTAAAGTGCATAGTTCCATGCGCACAATAAGTATTTAATAAATACTTGTTGATTTGCAAAAGATGAAATAAAGGGAGAAAAAAAAAAAAAAGGATTCAGATGGAGGTAGGGAGAGCACAATATTAACTTAAGTGACAAAGTTTGCCCCTCCTTGCTGAGGATATTGTCAACATCTGGTTCAGCCCCTAAGCTGCCAACAGCACTCCGAGTGAGGTAGGAATAAGGGGCTCATCCATAATTTTGCCCAAGGGGTAGGGAAAGACACTATCTCCTAGCTCACAGGAGCTGGACTAGGGGCTGCTGACCAAGAAGAGGGAAGGGTGGTGGGCGGGAAGGAAGGCTCACTCTCATCCAGGTTGATGTAGTCCTGCCGCTCTTCCTGGTCCCCTGTGCGGTGGTTTCGGGAGCGCTGGAGGATGTGAGCCCTGTCTCGGATGTGATGCCCAATGGACATCTGCTCTAGTCCACTGTCCGAGTCCCGTACAGTCCTTCGTGTCTCCCGGATCTGGGACGAAAGCACAAATGGCACATTCAGCTGCCCTTCCAAAGACCTACCTACACCAACCCACAACAAACAAACCACCCAAACCCAAATCTTGGGGCGGGGGGGAGAACCAGGGTTTCTGTGAGTACCACTCAATCCTGCCCTCTTTGGGATAGAAGAGTCCCCCAACTCACTCCGCCTGGTGCTGAGCGCATCTCTGATGTTTCTTGGTAGACTTTGGGGGCACCATCCCCCGTATTGGAGTAGGAGATGACAGTGGAGGATGAAAAGGTCTGGCAATTGCCTCCAGCTGTCATGTGTTCCTGAGGAGGAAAAAGGTATGACAGGATTGAACAGGGAAGGGTTTTCACTATGGAGAAGGGAGCCCACCCTTCAGCTGCACGTTCTTACCCATAACTTTCTCACAAAATTTGAGAACTGACAAAACATCAGGCCTCGCCATTGCCCCCCGAAGCCCTCTGGGTCTAACTATAAACAAAAAGGACCTTAAGAGATTAATTGCATACTTAATCAGAGAGCTGCTTCTTCGCGCTCAGGCGTGAGAGCAGATGCAGGATCCCAGTGCTCTCTGGGTTCAATCACTTTATCCAGCCTGACCACTTTACTAGAACGCTCTTCCCCACTCCTGCCTCAGAAGACTCGAGTGTTGTGAGCATCACTGAGAACAAGGCTGAGGAAGGGTACAGGATCAGTTTCTCACCATGTTCCCAATCATGTCATTCATCATTCCAAACATGTCCATGAAGCCACCAGACTGGAGGAAACAGATGGAAAACAGTCAGGAAATCAAAGTCCATGCAGAGAGATTATTGTGTTTAGGTACCCGCCGGCACATGGCTACACATTCCCTTTCTCTTCTTCTTTCACATCAAATGACTGCTCTTTCACATTCTCCATTACCAAGAACAGAACACTGATGTCTCTTCTCCTATATACTGTCAACCTCCTCCTCAGTCTCTATGGCTGCCTTGATCCAATTTTCCTTCTTATTCTGACTGCCCCATTTCCCCCTATCTTTAAGAAGTGAGTTAAAGCTAATGAAATCTAACCTATAAAGAGGTAGGACACGAAATTATTAAAAACTGAATACGTATCTCTAGTTGGCCATTCAGCTGCACTTCTCTCCTCAAAAGGACAAACTTTGCTAGACAGTTATATCTTCCTAATGTAAATGGCTCTTATAAGTACAGGAGTTAGCAAACAAGTTAGCATCTTTAATTCACAGGGCTCACAGCACCCATAAGGCTCATAGTTTAGTGAACACTCTAAAAGAGAAGATCCTGGGGTTCTTCTGGAGAGGCACATTTAGAAATAATGTCTAAAGGTTACAGAGTGTGTCTGAGATGGAAGATAGTGGGAAAATACGAACTCACCATTCCTAGCATCCCGAAGGGGGAGACAGCCCCAGCCTAAGAATATATAAGGAACAAAAATGAGAACCCACATCCTCTCTCATTACAATCCCAAACCAGGCCCAGGGTCTCAGCTTATTTCCCATCTTCTTCTCAAGAGAGGATCAGAGCCCTTTTTCCAGACCCCTTTCGTGGAACAAAGAACCTGGTTTAGCCCTTTGACTCTGGTTTCTAAAAAAAAAACCTGGGCAATCAAGATGCCTTTGTTTTTCAAATTAGCCAGGCAAGTAGGTGCCACACAGGTCCTATACCTGGCAAAAGAACTTCAGGAAGGGGAAGGGGAAAAACTAATACAGTCATGAATATTCCTTGCTTGGATACATCATTACTATGCATCAAGGCCCAAATCATGCATATTCATTGAGGTCCCAATGACTAGGGGATCAGGGACCCTGGGGTGCTCTTTGAGGTGTCAAGGATTGGTGAAAACATCTACGCGTGGGAGAGGGTGCAGGAAGTCCTGGGGACAAAGAAAGCAACTTGGTGCCAGGACCTCTCCTGGTCCTTGCCTGCTCCCTGATGACCTGGCCTCAGGTGGCCAGGGATGTTTTGGCCCAGCTTAGGATAGCTGTGGATGAGGTCTGATCAAACTCTGGATGGTTAGGGTCAGAGAGAGTTTTTGCCATGGAAGTGGCTGGTTTCAGATTTGGAGAAGTGGGAAAGTGAAGATGTTAATTATCTTCACATTTTGGGGATCAGCCTTGTGTCAATTTTTATTTACACACTTTCCTTCACTCCAAAAAGACCATTTCATTTGCTAAGTTGGCTGCAGTGCAAGAAAAATGAAGTGCTCTACTAGCCACCCTCTAATCTTTCTTTGGGTCTCAGGTACTTTGCAGCACCATTACCTGCATCCTGCGGCTGGCAGGCCTAGTCCCTGGCATGTTGCCATCTGTGATGCTGAGGAAGGGGCTATATCCAAAGCCACCTGACAACATACGGCTCATATGCTGACGGTGAATGGCAAACGGGTCCCTGTGGAGTGAGTATACAGTATGGATGGCAGAATCACCATGCAGTTGACTCCTCCCACCAACCCCCCGCCCCCCCCCCCCACAAAAAAAGTCACAGGGAAACAATGGCACAGATGCAACCTACTTCCCCTCTAAGTCAGAGCTGGAGCTGAGTATCCAGCCATCCTCCCAGTTACAAACATTCCCAGCAACGGGAACCCAGATGTCTGTCTGAACTCCTCAGAGACCTGAAGTGCAGTGGGATGGATGCTCTAGAGCATGAGGGGGAGGGAACACTCACATCAGGAACATGGGATCTTCAGGCTCCACGTCCCTCATGAAGCGGAACATCCTGATCTTAGCTCCAGGGGGCTCCACACTGTAAAGATGTGCAGGCTCAGGTACTTGGGGGTGGCCAGGCTTTTCCACACTCCTTCAGTGTAATATCTCAGTGCAGGAACTCTCAAAACACTGTAACCGACCCCCTCCAAACTTCAGGGATTCACTACTTCTGATGTTCAACCCCACCTCTAGGGAGAGAAGAGCTCTTCAAATCTCTCAGTGAGGGTCATGGAAAAATTTTCCAAGCCTCTCAGTTTTCTACCTCCCCCCCTAAGAACCATCCTCCTCCCAAACCCATGGCCAGAGGCATACTCCGCCTCCCCCGACGTCCCTGTTCTGGATGAGAATCCCAAGTGCGGGCCCTCGTATGCATTAAAGACCCCAACCACCCCGCCCCCTCCTCACACCCGGCAGCTGCCAGGCCTCCCCCAGAAGAGCCTCACTGTCCCCGCCGCGCCGGTCAGTGGCTCCCCCAGTTCCTGACTCTCCGCCGGGAGAGCAGGAGAGGCAGGCCCGACCCTCTCCCTTCACTATCCCCTCCCAGCATCCCAGAACCCGCAGCCCCGTGGGTCTGCTCCCGCCCCGGACCCGGCTATCCGCTCTGCTCGAGCCTCACCGGTCCCCGAATTGGGCTCAGCGGCCCATCCGGCCAGTTTCGCCTCTTGGTGCGGTGCAGGCTAAGGGGTCGCGGCCCAGGACGCGGGGATTGGTCCGGGCTTGAGCTCCTCAGCCTCCCGCGCCGCCTCCTCCTACAGCTGCTACCTCCGTACCCCGACTCGGCCCACGAAGCCCGAACCTCGGCCAGGCCCGGACGGAAATGACGTCACGATGGGACGCCCACCTCGGGGCCGGGTCCACGGGAGCTCCGCCCGCCGGTGAGGGAGAGGAGAGGTTTAGGGCTACCCACGGCTGGTGGGGCGAGGAGGAGGCGGGCACGAGGGGCAGAGTCTGTGGTCGGGCGGGGTTCTCTGGGGACGAGAGGAGGGAAGGCCTCATTAATAACCTGGATTTGAGTTCTTTGGACTCGGGGTGGGTAAGAGAGGAGTCCATTCCTGGAGAGGGACAGGGTGGGGCGGGGCGGTGCATGTTCCCTCAGGGGAAGGAAGAGGGCGTGGGGCAGGTTCCCGTAGAGGGAGGGTTAGGCTCTCTGGGCGATGAGGTGGAGCAGATCCCTGGGGGGAACACGAAGCAGATTTTCTACTGGGGAGGCGTTTTTCCTATGTGGGAGGAAGGGTGGCATTTCTGCGGGGAGGCTCTAGGGCCTGTCCTTTTGGGAGTAGATGCATTCCAGGCAGGGGCGGGGTCTCCAGAATGACGAAGGGAAGGAGGTGACAGCTTCTGCCCAGGTCTAGCGCTGGCTTTGGTGTAATTTAGGCTGTGCAAAGAGAATTCAGGTCGGAGACTGGCCACCAGATGGCGCTCCTCGGCCAGGCTGGAACTGCAGGCCCTTGGAGACAAGCGTCGGAGAGGCTCCTGGACCCTTGTTAACCAATCTGTAATGGGTCGGAGTGGGGAAAGTCTCTAGGTTTGAAATAGTTTAGTGTTAATCTCCCCTCTACTTTCTCTAAATTCTGTGACCCGAAGAGCTCCTCGTCCTGCATTGATCTTTCTTCTCCTCTAGTCAGGTAGTTAGGTCTAGGGTCTAATGTTTGGGAGAAGAAAGGGAGCTTAATTAACCAGGATCACCCAGGTGCAGAGCTGAAAACAGGACCCAGGAGACCTGACTCCAGGGCCAAAGACTGATACTTTGACATACTAAGTGTCTTGCAGAAAAGCTAGCTTTGCTGGAGAGAAGAGCCCTCCCTCTTGGGATCAGGGGATTTAAACTGTCTAGAACAGACTTTAAACGATGCTCATCCAAACTCTAGTTCTCCCTGGTTCTTTACTCTGGCCATTAGCCATGTTAGTGCTGTGTGGAGCCTGACCTTATGGGAAAGACTTGTTCCTAATAATTCCATGGGGGATGGAGAGGGGGGTCCCTAAAGACTTAGGAAAAGATGCTGGGAGTAGGGCTTCTTGGGTTTCTTTGAACTTGGTCATTATTAAAGAGGAAAAGACAATAGGAGAGCCAGATAATTAAGATACAGACTGGCCGACTGGCAAAGCCAGAGTCAAAGACAGAGAATAAAAGAAAAATTGTTTTTCATTTCTATTTCTGGGGAAGAGACTTGGTAAAATCATTTAAATTGATCTTCCAGATGCTCTATTTCTGTGGGCATCTCACCATACAACTGCCTCTTTTCTTTTTCCCCCAAACAAAAGCAATTTGAATGTGATCAAGAGTTACCCCAGTAAAGGGCTCTGCAGCCCAGACCTCAGTAAGTGTGGTCCCTCCCCTTCCAGCTTCTCCCTTCTCATTCCATCATATTTAACCTTCAACAGAATTGGGTAGGAGATAACATTTAGCTTTGAGCTTCCTCCTTTTTTCTTTTTCCATTACCTGGTGTCCTCTCCCTACTGCCATTAGGTGCCTAGAGCCCTTTTTCTTCTTCCGTCCAAAACTTAAAAATCTGATATCAGTCAGTTCTACTTTTCATGATTTTAAATCAATGTATTACCTCTCCTAGGAGTATTTATAAATTACAGCTTACCTTCTAACTATGAGACAAAGCTCCAAACTTGGGCCTTGTCCCAGGTTAAAAAGAAATCCTTGAGCAAGTGGGAATGGAGGAGAAGATGCAACAGTCCATTTTCAGAGACCCTGGAGACATACCATATAGGCAGCCATCTACTGCAGAAATTGAGAGATGTAATTTTACAAGTAACCTTTCTGCTCCCCACATCCAGAGTTTGTGTGTCTGTCTTCCTTCTGCCTCTCTTTCCCTTCCTTCCTTTCTTTCTCTTTTCTTTTTTCCTTACTTTCTTGCTTCTTTCCATCTCTGTTTAATTGACTGTGGTAAACATGAATCCCTCAGTGACTGGAATGTCCCATGGATGATAAGATGTAAGAGGGAGAGTGGGCCCTGCTAGGGGTGAGGCTAAGCATTATTGGGAAGGAAGGTGTTAAAAACTTAAGTGCACAGAGAAACACCAGAAATTAGCGTAACAGAATATATTTATTGTGACTTGATACGAATTGGGCATCAACCTGAAGGTATGGGGAAGGTGCTCCAAAGACGGGATAGTGAAAGCAGGTTATATTGGTGGGGACCAGGCAGGGTCTTCTCCTGAAACTCATTGTAATTCTCCAGAAGAGCCCAGTGCCTGAGGCAAAATATCGATAAGCTGCTTACTAGGCTATCGTTTGACTTGAAGATGACTTCAGGAAAACAGTTCTTAAAGGTTCAAGGTTCTATAGGTAACAATGCACAAACACCAGAAGAGAAACTAGATAACTGAGAGCTCCTAAAAATCAAACACTTAAGCTCATCAAAAGACTTCACCAAAAAAGTAAAAAGACAGCCTATAAACTGGGAAAAAATTTTTGGCTACAACAAATCCGATCAGCATCTAATCTCTAAAATCTAAAAGCTACTGCAAAACCTCACAACAAAAAGACAGATAACCCAATTAAAAAATGGGCAAAGGATATGAACAGGCACTTTGCAAAAGAAGACATTCAGGCAGCTAACAGACACGTGAAGAAATGCTCACAATCATTAGCCATTAGAGAAATGCAAATCAAAACTACAATGAGATACCATCTCACCCCAACGAGGCTAGCATTAATCCAAAAAATACCAAATAATAAATGTTGGAGAGGTTGTGGAGAGACTGGAACACTTATATACTGTTGGTGGGAATGTAAAATGGTACAACCAGTTTGGAAATCGATCTGGTGCTTCCTTAAAAAGCTAGAAATAGAAGTACCATACGATCCAGGAATCCCACTCCTTGGAATATATCCTAGAGAAATAAGAGCCGTCACACAAATAGATAATATGCACACCCATGTTCATTGCAGCACTGTTCACAATACCAAAAAGATGGAAACAACCTAGGTGCCCATCAATGGACAAATGGATAAACAAACTATGGTATAGCCACACACTGGAATACTACGGAACGATAAAGAACAATGATGAAGCCATGAAACACCTTATAACATGGAGGAATCTGGAAGGCATTATGCTGAGTGAATTTAGTCAGTCACAAAAGGACAAATATTGTATAAGACCACTATTATAAGAACTCAAGAAAAGGTCTAAACACAGAAGAAAACATTCTTTGATGGTTACGAGGGTGGGGAGGGAGGGAGAGGGTTATTCACTAACTAGATAGTAGACAAGAATTAGGTGAAGGGAAGGACAACACACACTGCAGGGGAAGTCAGCACAACTGGACTAAACCAAAGCTAAGAAGTATCCTGAATACAACCAAACACTTTGAGGGACGGAGTAGCAGGGTTAGGGGTCTGGGGACCATGGTTTCAGGGGACATCTAGGTCACTTGGCATAACAAAGTTTATTAAGAAAATGTTCTGCATCCTACTTCAGTGAGTGACATCTGGGGTCTTAAAAGCTAGTGAGCTGCCATCTAAGATGCATCAATTGGTCCCAATCACCTGGAGTAAAGGAGAATGAAGAACACCAGAGTCACAAGGAAAGCATTAGCCCAAGAGACAGAAAGGGCCACATAAACTGGAGACTGCAACGGCTTGAGACCAGAAGAACTAGATGGTGCCTGGCTACAACCAATGACCACCCTGATAGGGAACACAACAGAGAGTCCTTGGTGGAGCAGGAGAAAAGTGGGGTGCAGAACTCAAATTCTAGTAAAAAGACTAGACTTAATGGTCTGAGACTGGAGAAACCCCAGAAAGCATGGCCCCTGGACTCTCTGTAGACCTAGCACTAAAACCATTCCCGAGGCCAACTCTTCAGTCAAAGATCAGACTGGACTATGGGATATAAAATGATACTTGTAAAGAGTGTGCTTCTTAGCTTAAGTAGATACAAGAGACTAAATGGGCAGCTCCTGTCTGGAGGTGAGATGAGAAGGCAGAGAGGGTCAGGAGCTGGTTGAATGGACATGGGAAATCAGGGGTAGAAAGAAGGAATGTGCTGTCA